ACAAGAACTCTTGAACAAGCCTGCCGATACTAGATAATGATCTTCTGTTTTTAAACAGGCAAATTTGACTTAAACCTCATTCATTTGAATAATATTTACATTCCCACAAGTGTTCAATATATTCACCCTGGTTTCCACATCTTCTGCAAAGAGTATTAGTGTTGTATGCCCCCCCCCCCTCGACTGTAATACTTCTTGTACAGAGTTCATAAGAATATCGTTCAGTTTGGTTGTTTTACAGGTAATACGAGCGGAATGGGTTCTTCTGAAAACAGATCTATTTGGCGGTTTTTGGCTACAGGTAAGGTAGTCACAAGAACGAAACTTTGGTAATATGCAGTCCCTTCACACCATCTATTGCTCTCCTATCGCTTCGGTCCATAGTCTACACTGTTGACTTAATTTATCAAATTTTTATCACGGTATTTTTCCAATATATTAATAACCTTGCATTGAAGTTCTTATCAATAAGTTGAAGCTCAAAAGTTTTAGAGAAGAAGTGATTGCTTCTTAATTTTTACAAATTCTGTCTGCATTATCTTTGCATATCATCATATCAAAAAGGATCAACTCCAAAGTAGGATTCGAATAATATAATGCAATAAACTCGCAACACACATACAAAATATAATGTGCCAAATTATATTTGAAGAATCGAATGACAGATACAAGAGCTTTCTCCCGGATTCCTTTTTACAATTGGACCGTACACATTTCATCAAAACCCGGAAATGAACATCGGAAGCTTTTTTCTCTATAGAGCAAGAACAGATTCCAAACGTAATTTTGTTAAAATTGAACGAGTTAAAATAATGAGTGAAGTCCTACCTTTAATAAAAATAGACAATAAACCAAGATAGGTTGGTGACAATTTCCAAAATCTTTCTTTCTGCTGTCCTTTCTATTTTCTACCTCTTCTTCTGTCAGTAATATTTTCGATCACTTTTGTTTGCTTGATATCTTACTTTCTTTTCTTTTTCATATCATTCATGAAAATAGGTTTACTTTTTTCATTAACGCATGCATACCTCTATAACTAGTATGTTTTATCTTTATAGGTAGTAGCCACGTCATCAAAGTCATATGGCTCGAAAGCATGACAGGAGCTACTTCTTTATATCCCATTCAGCAAATATAATTGTTAAATATTTGACGCGGATTTACGGCAACTGTATTGTAAATTGTCCCTTTATGGCTTTTTTGCATTTTTAATACTCTATTCAGATAATATAATGCTGGAAAAAATATTCAAAAAAGTGTATAAGACAGATAAAATAAACTGTCCTGACAGTCCTTTGATATTTTCTTGGGTAAATTCGTTCATTTTTATTGAAACACTTTGTGGTAATAAAATTTATTGCCTTTGATTAAGTATGTGGTATAAGTGATGATAAGTACTTTGTATCAAAATATTGAAAGTTCTCAATTGAATCATAGGATATTGAAAGTCTTACATATAAGTTAAAGTCTTTGGTAGTAAACCATTTCCGACCACAGCATGCTGATAATAATAACGCAATATATTATGCTATTTCTACTCCTCGGTGCTATTTTTACTATGAAACAGTTAATTTTGTTTCCATTGTTGTTTTATTTCTTTAAACATTTGTTGATAGACATAAACCTTCATTTCTCGTACCAGTTCCAATCGACCCTTGTTTATATTGTTTTCCAAAATTGTTTCATGTATTTTTACCTCTTAATTCCAAAATCATGCTTTTTCAAATCTAGTTTCTCCTGCATATTTATAGTCACGTTTTGTTTTTCTCAAGCATAAATCTTTCAATCCTTGAATCTGTTTTTATCACATTCTAAGAAAATTTCGTTTGATTAATGATGTGACAAATATAGAATAAACCTTTAAATTTCCTTCTACTTGATATTTTATTCTAATTGATAATGTTCGACAAACAATCATGTCACTTTTAGAAATCTGGCATTTTCTCATACTCCAAAATTTTACTTGACCTAAGATTTATTGACAAGCTGACTAATTATATCTTAATCGTCTTTGGGGGAATCAAATTTTACTGTTTTATCATTTCATGCTGCACATTTTGGCAGCTCAAATGCTTGTATCATACATTTGTAAGCTGTTACATTGGGAACTACAGGGCCTTTGTTTGGCCGCTTTTAGAGTCGGTATTGTTCCGATAAACATGCAATTAGCAAAAATTGCTTGATCGTCGTTTTCCTTTTCTTGGAAGCTAGCCAGTCAATAACATCTCTGTTTGTTTCTCCGTAATGAATATTAGACAAGCTTATTATTTTGTTGTCTAATGTGTTTTTAACAAAACTGATTTTCGGTAATTGCATTTTGTATTTGCTTTGTCCTTATGTTCTACAGTCACTGCCAAAAGTCTTGGAACACTAACGTCAGTTTTCAAAGGCAAATTCAGCCACCCCCCTTCTCCCCCTAGGAACAATGTTGATTTACTATAGAAAAAAGGAAGGAGTTGTGGAGTACGCTTTTTCGTGTGCCTTGTATGATATTCTTCTATACTTTAACATTGCTTTGGGGGGAAAGGGGGACGGAAGTAGTTGTATTCGGGAAAACAAATGAAAAATAGAAAAGCACAGCGCAAAGTGTCTGGTGTTCCAAGTAATTTTGGCAGTGATTGTTTGTTTACTGCGCAGAGTCTGGAAATTATCGCTTTGCAACATTTGCTTTCATTTTCTACATACGAATTGAAACGTTCTTGCCTTGGAAAAATTTCAAAAATTTTTCTATCACTGTATAAAAATTCAGAATTTAAAGTGATGCTATATTTTCTAAATTCATGGACATTGCTTTGTCATTGCCAGCCCGGGCTGAGTGGATCCGGGTTGAGTCAGCCCGGGCTGAGTGGGTCCGGGTTGAGTCAGCCCGGGCTGAGTGGGTCCGGGTTGAGTCAGCCCGGGCTGAGTGGCTCCGGGCTGAGTGGCTCCGGGCTGAGTCAGCCCGGGCTGAGTGGGCCTTGGTTGAGTCAGCCCAGGCTGAGTGGGCCTGGTTGAGTCAGCCCGGGCTATATTTTCTAAATTCATGGACATTGCTCAGTCATTGATACTGTTTGCGCAAGCCGTTGGCCCTAAATTGAATATGTTTTTGTTTGTAGAAAATGCTCACAGTATCCTGTTGATATATTTCTTCAGCTGTTTAAAAAATTTTTCCAGACCCAGTTGGATCATTTTCTTGATAACACAATCTTGATTCAACCAGCTAATATTACAT